GATTTTGACAGAGCAAATTTTTTATAATTACACAAATTTTTTTCACATCAGAAATTTTTTTTTTTTTTTTTGATCCAAAAGGAATATTTGCCCTTGTGGAAAAAAAGTGACACACAGTGTTTAATTAGGAACATTACTGAAAAATCAAAGTAAGATCAATTAATAAACAAAAAAAATAAATAAATAACGACAAAATGAAATATATTGCACTATGATGGGAGTTTTATGACTATCTTTTGATATAGGTTTTTCTTTGTGTAATCAATTATTAAAAATTTGTTGAAAAAATTGATTATTTTTGCGATCTCCAAAACTATATAAACATTTTCGATAAGAAATTAGATTTAAATTGTGTTTGTTGGATTGGCAGAAATTAATATAATGTGTAATTATTTGAATTTAATTGGTTTGTTCTATTTATCTGTTTTACTTTGAGTTTTCAGTAATGTTCCCATTTAAAAATTTCGTTTCACCTTTTTTCCCTGTTTAACTTTTTTTCCAAAACGGTTATTCAAAAAATGAAAATAAATTTTTGACAGACCCAATTTTTTTTAATGAAACAAATTTTTTCCACAATTGTAATCTTACAAAAGGTATCTGAAAGTATCATTTTTGTTGTTTTTTTTTGTTTATTTTCTCCTTAATTCTTTTTGTTTAATTTTGATTCGCATAGGGAAATAATACAAATAAATATATTTTTATTTATTTTATTGAATGTAAGGGTGATGATATCAAAAGATAGAAAACCCTATTTGCAAGAAATAATAATAATTATTATTTTATCGTATTAATTATCCCCATTGAATTTTTGTAGGTATTATAATTCAAAAGATAATTATTAGACAAAAATTGAAAAAAAATGTATAAGGGTTATTTAAAAAAAAGCGACAAAATATTTTTAAAGTTGAAAATAACAAATAAAAAAATATGGAAAAAAAAAAGAAAAATTTACGAAGAAAAAATAAAGAGGTTTAAAGGTTAATATGTTGAATAATTAGGAATAAATTTAAAAATATAGAGATATTGATTTAATTGAGATTAAACATAACACCAACCAAAATCCTTTTGGTTAACAATATTTTGTATAAAAGTTGGTTATGGGTGTCCATTTCGATTATAAACCCTATTCCAAAAATTTGGACACACCCAAAATCAAAAATAGGCAAAAAAAAAACCCAATTTTTTGATTTTTTCCAAACGTAATATAAAACCACATTTAAGTTACACAGTATTGATATTTTTATAAGTAATTATTTTAATCCAAACAAAAGAAAAAAATATATAACGAAAAAATAAAAATTGGCGTGTCCAAAATAATGAAAGGAGCGAAACAAAAAATGTATTGGTATATTTGTTGAAATTTCAACATCAATTGTTGATCGATCAAATAATAAGATACTATCTACTAATTTTATGTGATTTTCCTATTTAAAAAACTCAAAAATAACTTTGGAAAAAATATTGGAAAAAAATTTCCATATCTAATGAAACAGATTACTTACCTGGAAAAAAGGAAATGAAAACAAAACAAAGAGAAAGAACAAAAAATGAAATATTTTGTAAAATATAAATTATTTCCTAATTGAATTTAAAGTGTGGTATTGATATTCTTTCAACTTTTTAAACCGTTTCCAAAATTTTGGGATTTAGTCTAGTTGATTAATTGCTTTTTTTTTTTCAAACCTTTTAAATTTTTATTTTATTTTATTTTTTTTTTGATCTCAAGATTATTTATTTTCTACTTTTTCATTTTTATGTTCAAGTAATATACACTTTTGTATTTTTGTATCTCTGTAATTACTATAGTTAGTTCCAAATTTAAGGCACAAAATTTCTTAAATTAAGGCCCAAAATTCTAATTTTAGTAAAATTATTTGTATAAAAAAAAATTCCAAAAAATTTTCCTTAATTTGAGATTTTTTTGTACCAAAAATTTCGTTGAAAGTTTGTGACTTTAAAATGGAACTGACTATAGTTGATTTCTGAAACTGCGTAAAAATGAAAATAACAATTAAAGCAGTTTTCTTTATAAGTTTTAAATAATGAAAGAAAATACCCATTTAACATTCAAAAATTTTAAACAGTTATTTCTCCTTTGAAAAAATTGTATTTGGAAAGATAATAAACTCCATTTCAAAAATTAAATACCCCATTAAAAATCAAATTTTGAAAATTAAAATTTTGAAAAATTAAAGTTATCTATTATAATATAAAAATTATAATTTTAATATTTTACTCTATACAATTGAAATTTTTGTTTTTCCTCTAAAAATAAAATAAAAATAATTAAAAAAATGTTCTATTTATTTTTAAATAAGCATTACATTAAAAATAGAAATTTAAAAGAATTACTAAAACCAAACTATTGATTCTCCTTCCATTCGAATAACTAAATCTAATCTCTTTTTCATATTTGAAACCAATTTTCTCATTAATTCATATGTTACTTCTTTCCAAATTTTCATTTTCATTTTCCTTTTTAACACAACACTACGAAAAAATAAAAAAGATAAACAATGATTTATTTTCAAACTTTTCATTATAGGGGGGGGGGACTTCAAAATAATACAAATACAATTCAAAATTCTTGTGTAACATGTGCCATTTATTGAGAAATTTAGTTTATTTTGTAAATTTCTTATTGGAAAAAAAATATAGTTTTTTTTTTTTTTTTTTATAAAAATAAACAGAAAATTAACTTTTACAATTAAGAAACCAATTTAAAGATAAAACTCATTATATAAAAACAAAATTCAACGATTTCCCAAAAAATTAAAAAATAAAAAAATGTTAATTTTCATACAAAAAGAACCTCTCAAAGCTCTTTAATGATCAAAGTACTGATAAATTTTAAAAGATATATACATTTTTTTTTATTATTTTACATTTTTTACTTTCAAAAAATTATTTGGCAGAGAGTATTTGCAAAATCAAATTTTTGATCATGTTTATTTGGTTATACACAAATAAAATTCTTTATTTCATGCACAGCTAAAAAAATATAAAAATAGAAAACTAAACAGAGAGTTTTTGATCATTTATTTGATTTATCAGTAATAATCTAGTAATACACTTGGTAATATACTATCTCGAAATAAATCAAATTTTAGTTCCAAAATCTACTTCCGAAGGAAGACATTGGATTACTATTAAATTTTGAAACATTTCAACCAATCTTTGTGAGATGAATTTATTTATTTTTATTAAGGGGGTAAGTACATTTTTCATTTTTTGAGTGCCACCATTTATGTGAAACTGAATTCTTCAAATCATTTCTTAAGCCAAATAAATTGATATTTTCATAAATACTAGAGTGGAATATATCCTAGTATAAGATATTTTCATATCAATAAAAAAAAGGAAATCAAAAAAAATGAAAAAAATTGATCAAAAAAATATAAATAAAAATCATTTATAACTTGAACTTATCTATAAAATTTGACATAATTACTTCTTCTTTATTTGGTTTTATTTTTAATTCTGTATGAAAAATAATTTTGTTTGGAAAATTTTTGATAAACAAATTACTCTTTATTTATAAAGAATTTCCAAAATGAATTTAAAAATCCTCTTTTCATTTGATTCATCTAATCCTAGTTTTAGTTGAGAAAATCAGATATTTTTTAAATTCTTCTTGGGAGTGAGGGTTTATTGGACAAATTGGTTTGATTTTATAATTATTTATTATCCATTAAATTGGAAAATCAAAATAATTCTGAATCTGATTGAAATTTTTTCTTGAATTTTTCAATTATTTTGATTTGAATCTTTTGTAACTGTTTTTTGATTCCGAGAATTCAACCCTTTATTTTAAATTTGGAACAGTATTCAATGTTTTGGCATTGTTTGATAAAAATATTTGAAAAGAGAATTTTGAAAGCACATCTGTAAAAAAAGGTTTTTTAAAATAATAATAAATAGTAATGGGGTTAGAAATTCAAGGAAAAAAATAGTTGGAATTCATACAAGTTAAGAAGATAAAGAAAACAAATCTTCGAAAATAGGCTTTTATCGATTTTTTTTTTTATTCTTGATTTCAACAAATTTATTTAGAATGGTGATCTTTCGTGTTTGGTCTTCTTAAAGAAAATATTTGTTTCAAATGCACACATTTAATCGGGTATATTTTTTTGGTTTACTCTTTGACTAATTTCAATTGTTCGTATAAACACATTTCTAGATCCAAAACAAAATTTAATAAAACCAAAAATTTAATCAAAACAAATGTTCAAAAAAATGAAAAAACAAGATTCAACTCTGAATTACTTTTGTTATTTTTTTTACAAATAGGCTAGTGGATAGCGTTTTGGTTTCAAAGTTTCAATATCTGGTGTCACTCAAAAAATATTTTTCAGTAATGTTTTCACAATTAAAATTTTTTAAAATGGTAAAATGTACTTATTTTCTTAAAGATGAAATAGGTTAGTCCCGAATCAGCAAAGTGTATCATGGGCGAAACGAAATGAATTTTTTTCTAAAATTGAGTAAACATTGTATATTAATGTAGTTTCCAAAAAGTCATAACAAAAATTATAAAATTGCTTTTTTTTTATTTTTTCACCTTCCAAGAGTTTTACTTTTTTTGTAGATTATTTACTTCTGAATACAAAGACGAAGATCTTTTTCTATTACAAAGCCGAGATCTTACCCATTTTGCTCATCTATAAATCTGAAACAATTAACAAGATCAACTATTTATACAATCACAAACTTTAAAGTAAATAAATCAAACCAAGCAAATAGAAAAGTTGTAAAAATGTTGTAGTGATCAAACCCATAACTCACTTCAAAATTCTTGGAAATATAATTTTGATAAATAAAAAGCGTATTTTTCGATCAAGAAAGATTTGTTTTTCGTCGAAAAAGGTTGAAAAAAAAAAAAAAAATTCGAACAAAATCTAAAGTCTTCCAAGAAGAAGATACAACAATAGAGAGATTGTAAATAAAAAATATGAGAAAATCGCTTCTAAAATAGCCAAATTTAATAAAAAAAAATCGTTTGCATCATACAGGATTCGAACCTGTGACCTTTTCATTACGAGTGAAACATTCTACCCCTGAACTAATAATGCAGTCATTTTCTACTAATAAAGATAAAATATAAAACTAAAAAAAGTAACATATTATTTTTATTTACAATTAAGTTATTTATTTAAAATTTAAAAGTGAATTACAAATCAGATTTAGTTTTTAATTGTTATTGAATACTTAAGCATAATTTTTTTTTAATTTATTATTTCAGGTGAGTCACAATATTTGAAAAAAAGTTAATATTTATAGTTTTATATTGAAAAGTATTGATTTTGAAAAAAAATTAATTTTTTATATAATTTTTTCAATCAATATTCTTTCAATTCAAATCTTAGTCAATAAAATTAATTGAAGTATAGGTGATTATAGAAAAGAAATTTTCATAGAACGTTAACCCAATTTTCTCAATAAAATTGAGATCTATTAAGCAAAATTCTGCTATTCTTTAAGATTTGTTAAAAAAGTACTTTTTTTTGTTTTTAAAATACAGAAAAAAAAATTCAAAAAAATTTTCAAATTTGCAAAAACTTAAAAAATATGTTCAAAAAAATTGATTGGTATTATTTATAAGAATCCTAATAACAATTAAAATCATATTTAGGAAGAACAAAAATTAATTTTGAATTTTTCTGATAAAATTAACTTAATTCAAAAAAATTTCAAGAGAAAAATTTTATTTTGAAAAATCGAATTTTGTGTTACAATATAACCAAAATTTCTTGGTAAAAATTTAAAATTAACTTAATATTTAATGGTTATAACTATCCTTCTTGAGGAAATTGAATATATTACGATATTGAAAATATCAATTTTTTTTTTTTATCTGATTTTGAAGGGAGGGTATTAGTTTCCTTTGACAATACCTTTTGCTTTTATTTAATTTGAAAAATAAAACGAAATTTTATTTAATTTCAAGTTTATTTCTTAAACTAAAAAAAAAAAACCTTGGCACATTTCCTAGTTTTTTTTAATTTTTGTTTAGGAATTTCAAAAAAGAGTCACAAATTTCTATACAATTAACTAATGTTAAAATAAATATAGAATAATATCAAAAATATTATTCTATAATTTCTTATTATTTTATTTATTTGAATTAATTCCTTAATCCAAAATTTTCAATTTTTTTTTCATATAATAGGCAGCCCAGAGAAAAAAAAACAATATTATACTTTATACAAAATAATTATCTTTACAAGCAGAAAAAATATACTTTTAAGGGTCTAGTTATTTACTGTGAATTTACTCCATACTCAAGAAATGAGAGACAAAACAAAAAAATGATTGTAAAATTGCCCTTCTTTTGATTGACTAAATTAAAATAACTAATAAAAAATTTTGAGAAATCTCTCATAATTGGTAAAAAATTCAATATAAAAAAAAAGTTGAAAAAGAATTCTCAATTGACAAAAAATCAAATTTAACCAAAAAATTACTTGTTTATTATTTTTAAATTTCCAAAGAATGTAATTTCTTCAATTTAAATCAAATTGTTTTCTAAAAGTATCCTATCAATTAAATTTGATTTAATCTAATTTGTGGTTTGATTTTAACTCTCTATATTTGACTAAGTAAGGATCTTGGTATCATTCTTTAGAAAAATAATAACTTATTTGAAAAATGAATAAATCAAAAAAAAAATATTTGAGATCTCAAAAAGCGCCAAAGAGATAAACTTTAAAAACTAACATAGTTGTTTTTTAAAATGATAAATAACAACCAGTTTAATTGAAAATAGAGTATCACTCTTTGGCAATTTTTCTAAAAATGTCCTTTATACTTGATTGTTGATTTTTGGAGATCGATCACGCTTCATATCTGGGTTATTTTTTGATTGGGAACTCATAAAAATTACAAAATTTTTTTAATAGATTTTATTTGAGAACATTATTTTTAACTATAATGAATCGAACCTTAATTAATGATGGTTTTAATACATACGAAACACCATTCCAAAAAATTAGGACACACCCAAAATCAAAAATAGGAAAAAAAATACCCAATTTTTTGTTTTTTTCCAATCATCATATTAAACCCCAATTTAAATAACTTAGTAAAAATGTTTCTATATAGTAAAATTTTTCATCCAAATAAAAGATATCAATTTAAAACCAAAAAAAAATACTCGTAGATCCAAAAGAATATAAAATCTGAACAAATAATTGTTTTGCCAAATTTTTTGAAAGTTCACCAACAATTTTTGATCGTTTAAATGAGATATATCATCAATTTATTCTCTGTGATTTTTCTAATTAACTGGCTCAATTTTAACCTTCTATCATAAATTGTAAAAAAAATTCCAGATTTAACGAAACGCATTACGCCACTGAAAAAAAGGAAATGAACACAAAAACAAAAAAGACAAAAAAATGAAATAGTTTTTAAAATCAAATTTTTTTTCAAATTCAATAAGAATATAATAATATAATTCGATTAACCATTTTAATGATTCTAAAAATAAACTATTTCCAAAAAGTGGGGCAAATTTATTTTTAAATATATTCATTAAACCCAATATTCAAATAGTATTTAAATATACAAAACTATTAACTACTATTTATTGATTTTTTGTAATAATTCAATTTGTTTCTTAGTAATGTATTAAATAAATAAAAAGATATTAAATTTTCTGATCCTAATTTTATCTGATATTTTTACATGTGAAAATTTGTATTTATATTCTTTTTAATCCAAAAAATCATTATTATGTAGTTTTTAATTTCAAAAAATTTCCCAATAGAATTGAAAATATATATCTGTATTTGATTTTTTGAATTAATTTATTTGTACCCTTTTGATATTTCAGTGTTTTTTATCGTAATTTTTCAGTATTTTTTTCTCCAAAAAAGGTATTATTTAATTTTTTACTTTTTGCAAATATTTCAATAAATATATTTCGAAATAAATTCCTTATTCGTAGAATAAATCGGTATTAATATTAAAGTTAATTTTGTATTTCCAGTTAACGAATACCTATATTAAAAAAGATGATTTTTTATGAAATGTCAAAAAAAAAAATGCCCCACTATTTCGGAAATACATTTTTAAAGTGTAAATTATTTCCAATTTCTTTATTTTTATGTTTTAAATCATTTCAAATTGGGAATGGTAACAAAGTCACCTATATACGATATTCAAATGAAATGAATTATTTTTCAAAAAAAGGAATAGAAAAAAATAATAAATACTTAAGATTATTTTATTTAAAAAGATTAATATTCAATACATTAAAAAAAAGAACAATTTTATTTACAGTCAGTTCCCCTTTTACGGTACAAAATTTCAACAAAATTTAAGGTACAAACAAAATCACAAATTAAGGCACAAAATTCAAATTCTAGTAAAATAATTTGTGAAATAAAAATTCGAAATTTTCTACCTTAATTTGAGATTTTTTTTTTACCTTAAATTTTGTTGAAATTTTGTTTATTAAAAGTGGAACTGACTGTATTAATAAAAAATGAAATGAAGGGGTAGCTTAAAATTATATTTTAATTTCTATTAACCAAAGTTTACCAAGATTATTTTTTAAAATATTATATAAACTAATTGAAACTTGTTGTGAATTTATTCAGAAATTTCAATTAGGATTTCGAAAAAAATATCAAACTCAAATTTTTGTATTAAACTTCTTCAATACTTATAATTAGATAAGTAAAATCAAATAATGGAAGAGAAAATGATAAAAAATATATTGTAATGACGGATATAACAAAATATTTTGATTCAATTAATTAGAAAATAATTATAAAGTCTATAAAAAATACAATTTAAATAAATTTCTTATAAACTTTTTTAAAAAAAATATGATCAAGATGAAGAACTTGATATAATAAGATAAGATCCCTTATAACCCATTTTATTTACAGTCAGTTTCACTTTTAAGGCACAAACTTTCAACGAAATTTAAGACACAACAAAATCCCAAATTAAGGAAAAAAATTTGGAATTTTTTTTTTTTTTTACAAATATTTTACTACACAAGTGGAAACATTCTTGAAAATTTCAAAAAATGGTTTCTATCCAGATACCAATTATTTTTGTGCAAATTTTTTTCTACTTGTACGGGATTCAATCAGAAAAGTAATTTTAAAAATATTGCCGAAAATCGAAAAAAAGTCGATTTTTAGGTATTTTTTGCATTGGAATTTTACAAAGAAAAAAAAATTTTTTTTACAAGTTTTTTGGGATTTATTATTTTTTTTTTTTAATAATTTATGTATCTTAATTTTCAAAATAATATCTATTTTTTGAGTTGTTTTAAAGCCATTTTATACCAATTCATCACAAAAAAACTTCAAAAAAAAATTTTTTATTTATTTATTTTTTCAAAAATTGATTTTTTTCAAAAACAATGATTTTTTGAATTCCTCTCAAAATACACAGAATTTCTTAAAAATCAAATAAAAAAAATTTTTTTGACTTTTTTTATGTAAGTAAACAAAATTGATTAATTTGATCCCAAAAATCAAAAATTTCATTTTTTTGAAAATCCAATTTTACAATAAAAATTGTCATTTTTTCGCATTTTCGAAAATTTTATTCATTTTAATTTTTTTTCTTTCGGGTATTTACTATGGTACGAGGCGCACCAATAATATTCAAGTATAATCAAAGTTTTTTTGTGGGTCAAATTTTTAAAAAATGATTTTTTTATCGTGCTCTAAATAGCTCGAAAAAAACTTAAAAAAAAATCTACTTTTTTTGGGCAGCCTATATCTCTTTTTTTTTCTTTTTTTTTTTTTTTTTTTTTTTTCATTTTTTCTCTTTTTTTTCTCAACAATAAAATACCAAATAACTCAAAAAATAAAATATAAAACGTTTAAAACTAATATATATTCTTTTATTTCAAAACAAGTTATTATTATAATAATAATAATAATAAAATATAATAATAATAAATCAGTAAAAAAACAAGGGTAAAAAATGTCAATATAAATAAAAAGGAAAATTAAATAGTCATATATCCCCAATGAGCCTCAAAAGACATCAAAACCAAGTTTTAATATTAGATATAATCATTTTCTAATTGTTTTTATCAAAA